GTTATTTGATAGCTATGATAGTTAAAATGATTAACGACTTCCCAAACATGTAATAAAAAAACAAAAACTAAAATTTAGGCCCCTAATCCCCATGCCATTGTCCCCCCATTTAGAGAAATTCCTTGATATAGAAACATGCTATATACAAATGCAACTTGACTCTATTATAAACAGTAAAAATTAAACAGCAGCATTGACATTTAAAAATTCATGAAAGTCTAATAACAGTATAGATAATCCATGCCTCTAACAAGAAGTTTGAACTAAGTACTGCTTTCTTTTTGATAAATTTCAATGAATTAGGGACTTCTAAAGCTTTGAATTGTCAAAAAAAAAAGTAAGAAAAATAAAGTGTTGCAGCATTTGAACATCTGCTACACCCATGAAGGGCTGTATCTGCTGGGAACTGCTCATCTGGAAGTCTCTGAGCCTCCTGATCTTGATCTTGCTCTTCCAGCTTTTCCTCTCTTCCATCACTTACCCTGGTCAAAATGTAATGTATTTATAGAGAATGTGTAAATAAAGATTTGTTTGCCCATTTGAAGCCCTATAAATTTATAATCCTATTTCCACTAGACTGCCTTTACAGGATCAAAGCCCCAGGCACTTCTCCCATGTGCAAATAAACGGTATTATTTTTATACTGACAGATGAGAAAGAATGAAGACCTTTTAAAAATTGTGTCACTGATTATTACCAAGATTGTACAAAGTATGCAATGACTGGAAGGTGAAAGGATAGGAAATAAGGAAAAAACAAGAAGAGGTGAGATAGCTTTTTCAAATGTTTTGCAAAAATTGTTATATACAGCCACAGGGATATTTGCGTAATTTCTTTGGGTGTGGGGTTGGGGATGTTGTTACCAACCATTTTCATCTAATCACATGTAATAGCCTTGCACTTCAATATGGAAAGTAATATTAATATTATTATACACATTTAAAAAATGAGAAAACAGGGCCTCCTGGGTGGCTCAGTTGGTTAGGCATCCGACTTTGGCTCAGGTCATGGTTCGTGAGTTCGAGCCCAGCGTTGGGCTCTGTCCTGACAGCTCAGTGCCTGGAGGCTGGCTTCAGATTCTGTGTCTCCCTCTCTCTCTCTGACCCTCCCCTGCTCATGCTGTCTCTCTCTCTCTCTCTCTCTCTCTCTCTCTCTCAAAAATAAATAAAACATTTTTAAAAATTTTTTAACAATGAGAAAACAGTGCACAAAGATGAAATGCAAGTCTTAAACCTGAAACACACAATAAATAAGATATAAATGCAGGTCTCAAACTCTATAGTCTTTGCTCTTTTCTCCTAGAATCACACAGTATCTAGATACTGCTCAGCGTCAGGCTTAAAAACAAATGAGTAATAGCTTAACACAAAGACTTAGTTTTACTTTCCCCTCCAACTTCCTTGGATTACTATTCACAAGCTCCAGAGATGCAAAAATGCACAGGTTAGTGTGTGAAAGTTAAATACGGGTTAAGTGATATTTTTGAATGAACAGAGGACTGAAACTTGGGAATTGTCTATCTGGTAAGCATGCCTAATTAGCTTGAAAAAATAGAGTTTATAAGAATACAACATTTTGCTTCACATAGGAAATATAGATTCCTACTCAGAGAAGTAAACAAGAATTTCTTGAGTACTATTTCCTAGGCATTATATTTATGTAAAATATAATAAATAAATATAATGTATATTATATTTATAAATTATAAATAAATTATAATTTTATTTTTTATAAATTTTTATAAATTATAATTTATAAATTGTAAAATTATGTAAAATATAATAAATAAATATAATGTATATTATATTTATAAATTATAAATAAATTATAATTATAAATTATAATATATATTATATAAAATATAATAAATAAAAAATTATGTAAAATATTTATGTAAAGGGCTCTATCTCTATCTACCTATCTACTGATAACTGTAATTTATTAATACAAAAATATGTTATGATGTCATAGACCACAGTGTCTCTTTTATATAAACAATAGTTTTGTATTGCTGTAAAAATACAGCTAAAAACAAACACTGAGGCAAAATGCTGACTATTCTTTGGAGTCATGATGAACTGCTAATCTGAAGGGTCTCCTTCATAGTTTTCACCTAATCTGGATAATATCTCGGTCACTGCTCGGTTTAACATAAATTGTCTCTGATGAGAACATTGCAGTTCAGAGCCCACAGGGTATATATTTTGGTAGCGTTATTTTCTCTTATGCCTGTATTTCTAAATTAACAACTCATGAAAACTTATAAAGGTTTATAAGAACCTAGAAATTGCTATTTCTATCATGTGGAATAGAAAAAAAAAAAGAGTCAGATTCCAAGGTTAGAAGGTTCATTTGCTTATTAAATAGGGACAATCATATTTTTTCTACCAGCTCTCCAAATAAAAACCTTATGATTTCAAAGTTAGTTTTTCTCTTCCTCACAAGTCACCATATCAAAGCATCTCAAATCATCTACCACAGGAATTGTATGACTGCTTTGATTTTAAAAATAAAGAGAGGAATTTTGGAACAAAATTATGCTGCGGAAAATGATTTTTTTTTATTTTTAAGCCACAGCTGAATGACAAGTTCATGTTTACTAAGTTAAAGATGTACTAAAAATCACTACCTTTGAAAGCCAGCTTGTAACTATACATAATGCTCATCTCAACGAGAGAACTGGAGGGCAGTGAGAGATCCTAATGAAAGCCATGGAAATTTTCCCTATTAAAATGTAAATATATTCAACATTTTGTGTCTAATTTTAAGAGATTCCTGGGGCCCAAAGGAAGTCCATCCAATTCCACAGGTTAAACACCCTGAAAATAAAAACAGGACCACTCTTCAGTTTGGGGTGGCTGAATTTTGATGTAAATTAGCTCTAAGTGTGGCACAAAATAAGGCCACCCAAGGAATTGTTCATTTTCTTTTCCATAATCTAAAGATCTCCAACAATGCATATGAGTGTTAAATATCCAGTTGTGTCTAAATTCTATGATTAACTTATGTAGGGATGCAGAAATCAGTCTGAGTAAAATTTCCTTAGATTTATCAGGTTCAAATGGGCCCAAGAACTTAGTGGTAAGTACAAATCTATTTTTGGTACTATTTTAGAGACAAATTCCTTTAATATCTGATGATTTCTTCCCTATTGCTGTAATATATTCACAATGAAGTTCATGAAATTCATAAATAGCTAAAGTGCTTCAAACATCGAGGCCTATCATTTTTCTCTTAAGAACTCTAACACATTCCTCCCTCTACTTTCTATTTATAGGCAATTGGAAATGCCTTTTTTAAGTCTGTAACAGTTGTGTGCTAGTTAATAATTGCCTCTACTTCCCCACCACTCAATGTTTCTAATCCCTGTGTTCCAGTTCCATTTTCCTATAGAACGTGTTTTCTCGAAGGATCCCAGTGTAATCCTGATTGCTAAACCCAAACATTTATTCACTGTCTTCATTTGCTTCAGCTTTAGAATCATATCCCTTTAAGAATCTGGGCTCAAAAGTCACAGAAAACAAGATCTTAATCTCAACTCTTTACCTTATCAGCCTCAAATAATGCAGGTTCTTTTGAAAACTAAGTGAAACAATGCACATAGAAAGCAACAAAAATGTGAGATGATCAATCATTTTTTTCTTGAAAGTGTCTTGAGTTTTTGGCACTGGATTATTCCAATTACTTTGTTTCTCTAATCATTCTTTGTCTCCTCTTTTTCCACTATTCCTCAGATTCTCAGAATTGGTCTTTTAGTACTCTTTTCATTCTATATTCTACATCACTCTTCCTTGATGGTCTCACTACTTTTCATGGATTTAAGTATAAGCTTTTAATAATGACCTCAGAACCTATATTACTACCACTGAATTATTTCTGAATTCAACTCTTGCATTTTGTATCCATAATTTATCCATAGATGTCCCCTGATGGCCTCAGCTCAACATATTAAAAAAAGAATCCACATCTTTCCTAGCAATTGTACTCTTCCCTTCTTTAGTTAATGTTATCAGCATGGTCCTCCTTAACTCTATTGAATTTTTGATCTCCACCATGCTCTCATCTCTACATTCAATTGGTTGTCAAATTCTGTGGGTCCTACCCTCCCAGTCAATCCCTCTTGGATGGCTCCCCTGAGATGTTCAGTGGACCCCTAATTTCTCTCACTGTCTGGGGTGTCTTCTGCCACACATAATTCCCCTTCCACTTTAGCCATACTGATGCTTTTAAGCCACAGTTACCAATATGATTGCTGAGATTTTTGGTCTAGCTTTCATTTTATTCCTTAATTCAGCAATATTTATTGTCTATTATGTGTCTTATGTGTGAAGGGCAACTAACCATTAGGATTGGGCATTTTATAATTTATGATTTCGATGTCTTTTTTTCTGAACAATTTGCCCAACCCATTTGTTATTCTACTTGTATCTTATATCTGACCCACTCAGCTACTAAGTTGTTAACACCCTTCCTGTTTAGGTATGCATTTACCCAATGCTTAAACTTGACCTTCTTAGCCATTCATTTAACCAAATTATGTTAGCACCTTCTATGGAACAGGGGCTGATGGTACACATATTGGCAACATTCATAATAGCCGTGCCCTCAGAGTAAAATGTTGAGTTCAAATTCACATTCACTTCTTTTATTTAGTTGCTGAAAGTAACATTTTTCATGAAACAAACAAACAAACCTCAATTAGACAAAGCTGCTCTCCTTCTACTCTTACCAAAATCAACCTTGAGATGTTTCATTTAGCCATAGCTGGTTTCTCCACTGGGACTTAGATATCACTTAGCTCTGAAAATCTAGTACATTCTCCTGTTTATTCCACAGAGCCTAAATGATTTGTCTTAACATCTAAAATTAGACATACTGGGTAAAACTTAAGTTGTTTTTCAAATTATTTTCTACTAATTCTCTTCCTCTATTTCACTAATAGAAATATTTCGGGGGCTGAAATTAATAATAATTTATAGTTGTGTTGTGTATTATAGTTGTGTTGTGGGTGTAAATGAGTGTGGGAGTAGTCCTAGCAGGTTAGTTGAGCCAATAAATAGAATTAGGGATATCCTTTCCCTCCAATGTTTTTTTATTTTCCACAAAATTCCCTGTGAGTAGAATATCATTCCTTCCCAATGCTGTCAAAATTACATATACATTTTTAAGGCCCCAATTGGCTATTACTTCTTTTATAAATCATTCCATGGTCAAAAAAATATATATATATATAATATATAAATAATATATATTATACTTATTATATATATTATATATATATTATATTATATATATTATATATAATATAATATATATTATAATAATAATATAAAATCCATATATATATGTATGGACCTTGTCAACTTTCAAGGTGAAATTTTAAAGTTTAATTTTTGGTAATAGTCTTATCTCCCCCATTAGAATAAAATAGTTCTTAGTAATTATTGTTTCTTTTACAGAATATTCCATAAAGTTCTTATACAAAGACAAATAATGAAAATACAATATTATAATCAAAATAGCAATTCATTAATATTCTCCACCCACCCCTAAACTAGAATGGGCAGGTAGACACATTGGAAATAATAATAGGAAATAAAATCAAATTATGAGTTAAAAAATTGAAGTATTCTCCCTAGGATCACCACTAACTAACGAATTCATATAATTTTGGACAGACTTTTCAACATGTAGAACTAGAGAGGAAGATACCCTCTTAGCAGCGAATAATCTAAGGAAAGACACAGGTAATTACTGACGATGCATATGATGTGGAAGTTTGGAGGGTGGGCTCCAAAGTCAGAAAAAGATTGGGGTCTTGACTTTACCATTTATTATCAGTGACACCTCAGCAATTTCACCATTTGGGGTTTCCTTCCACATCAGTAAAATGAAGATAATAAAAAGATGGGTTTGAGGATTTAATTGGTTAAAAAAAAAATTAAGAAAAAAATAGTGTCTGGAACACAGTAACCTGGCTATTATTATCCTTAAGCACTGTTTATTTTTTACCTCCCCAAAACCTGGAAATGGTGTTGATCTTAGGCTCTTATATATTCAGCTCCTGTATGCTAATGCAGTAATATAAAAATAGGATTAGGTTATTCATAATATTTTATATTCAACCATGTCATAATTGCTCTATGTAAATGCATTTCATCTTTCACTTATGTTCTCCCAATTTGAGATTCTTTGTTTGAGGCTTACTTTTACTTGGTTACTGTCAGTTAACAGAGTGAAGATTTGCCTGATCAAGGCAAAATAAAATATACCTCATATCCATAATAATTTGGAAAAAGCCAAAATGATGCAGTTAGTTGGCTATTTATATCAGTTTTATTGATCAAATAAATTAGAACAAAATGTAACAAGACTGACATATCTTTATGTCAGGCATTTTAGTCTTTAATGACCATGAAAAAGATTCAGTGATGGTAGTTTTATAACAAGCTCTTAAGCCTTGGGTACACATCCAGCTGATGCTTGGGAGAATATGGTCATTCCCGTTAGTTTGGAAACAAACTTCTCAATGTTTTACCTGATATTTTTCTTGTTAAACTTAACAGAGAGGTAATAAACAATATTGGCTTTTCGGTGCAGAATATGCTTCAGGGACTCTTTATCTTTTATATCTATATATTTCAAAAAGTGTTCTTAAGGCTTTATAAATGCTTTTTACTTCACAGGTGCTTGAGGCTGGAAGGGATCCTGAGAGGTCATCACCCTGCCTTAAGGCATAGTGAACCTGAAATCTCTTAGAGGAAACAGATGAAGAACTTAAGAATTCCACTGCTCTTCTACAGGACCATCCTCCTTGACCCTCTATCCCAGCTCCCCCAAATCAAACCCACCTCAGTAAGGGTACGCACTCAAGAGCAAAGCTACTTTAATTTATGTTTGTTTGTTTCTAATTGAGGCACAGCAAGCTTGAGATGTGACAATTAATTTAAATACAGAAAATTATCCTTAATAGAAAAAGTCTCAATATTGGAATGTCTATGATTATCATCATTAAATTCAGTTATTAATTTCCAATAATAATGACCTAATTAGGTTTTAATATTTGTGCATTTCACATTAGTAAGTATTCCTCTGAATACAGTGTTGTCCTCAAATTGTATTACTTTAACAAAAAAGGAAACTGTTGCTTAGCAATAAGGAAAGACAAAGGCCGAAAATTACATCTCAAAAGGATATTGTAGTCAACCATAAGAAGTCGTAGTAAATGATGATATCTAAAGGAATGCTTGAATGTGGAAACTCAATGAGAAAACTGTTTCCTATTAGCTTTAACAGCAGGGTTTGTTATCATTTAAATACACGCTCTAATACACTTAGTGTTTTGTGCTACATTTAACAAGATTAAGTGAACACACACTGTTTCAACTCAAATCTTTAACGGAAATCAGAGGCAAGCCTCATTTCTTGCCAAAACATTCTCTTGTGGCTCATTTTTGGAGCAAATTCCATATAAGTAAATCTGTTTACCCAGGTGGACCACTGATCAATTAAAGGATTTTCCTTTCAGGTAGTTCTGCTTTACAGAACTTTGAAAACCTTATCTGAAATTTCTAAAAAAAAGTCTATCTGATGTGCTATAAAGACCATAATTTGTAATACAATGAAAATGGCATTTGAATATAGCAAATAATTAAAAGAAAATAAGAAGGATAAGCTCTCCGAATTCTTACATGATTCTTACATGATAGTGCTATAAAGTACTAGATTCTGAGGAAAACTAGAGAGCATACCCAAAAGGACATAGTTTCTCTTGTCTCATGTGTTAATTTCCCCCTTGACTGAAAAAGCTTGAACTGCCTGAAAGTTAGCTTCCAAGAGCATTATAAAACAGGTGGCCACATCTCAACTTTCAGATAAACTTGAAAATTTTAACCTGTCATGTCATCCTATACATCAAATTCCATTTTAAGGAAAATACATTTCTAGTTCCTTACATTTTATATTATGGTTTATAATTGATGATATGATTATATTAAGGTTTTTCTCTTTGCATATATATGGATTCAAATACACACACACACATATATATGTATATACTCAAATATGTATATATTCAAATATATATATATTTGAATCTAGATCACTATATACATTTTATAAAATATGTTATACTCTAGCTCAAGTTCAATAGATATTTATATAGCTTCTACTGTTTTTATTTTCCACATTTGTAAGTAATAAAATAGTATGACTGTAGGATACATGAAATAAAAGTGCTTTTGCCACACTTCTATTTATCTTGTAGGTAGTTTAAAAATCCAGTCATTTGGGCATCACATATCATGATGGGTCTTTGGCATTTTCAATTAATTATAGCCCTTTATAAAAGAGTAAAATCTTATTTATCCTTTTCTAAATCATCTACAATCAATGACATGATGACAAGGTTATAGCCAAAAAGATCTTGCAGATGTCATCAAGGATACAAACTGTGAGATGCAGAATTCTTAAAAGTGGAGAATCTAATTCTTAAAAGTGGAGAATCCACTCTGGCTTTGGTTAGAAAGAAACCTATAAAGACAGAAGGATCAGAAAGAAGGAATGAGAAGAGAGGCTGGCTTGCACTGTTTGCTCTGAAAATGAAGAAAGGGAGCCATAAACCATAGAATGCAGGTAGCCTCTAGAAACTGGAAAACACAGGATATATGTTCTCTTCTAGAACCTACAGAAAGAAGTACCAACAATTCTATCTTAAACTGCTGAGACCCATATTAAACTTACCACCTCTAGAACTGATTTATTAACTTATGTATATAACTTAAGTCACTAAAACTGAGGTAAATTGTTCTGGCAGCAATAGAAAACGAACACAAAATCATGGAGTTTTGACTGTTAAAGATATACCATCTTCTTTCTGTGAGAACCCATTTACCATGTCTATTTATAGACTTGCCTTTTTCCTACATTATAGATTTGGAGGGAGGCATTTGGAGCTTTTATGACACTGACTTTTAAAATTAATCATTTTGTGCTGGTGGCTAGAAAGTTGGAGCATAATTTTCGCCTGTTTCTGGTATCGTTGTTAAGGATTCCCTGTGGTCATTCTCTGTGCTAAATTTATTCACGAATTCAACTATTATTTTCCCAATTTCTTATCCCTTTGTCTTACTTTTTCTCAACTACTCATTTTATGCTATACTCTACGAAAGTCTTTTAAGTCATCATGAAACCTTCATGAGGTATAAATAAATATAAAACTACATATTACGAATAGAGTTACATAGATATACAATACATGCAGATAGACTCATCGCCTCTTTATTCACTTCTATTGTAGCTTTTGTCGTCTTCTTAGACATTTTCATTCCCTTTCCATTCTTCTAAACTTAGTCCAAATTATGAAAATCAAAAAGGGATAAAAGTTAAGTTTGTCCACTTCCCAATCACTATCAAGGATTTTGTCCTTCATTTTCATCACTGCTGCGAGTCTCTGAAAAATTTTCATCTTAAGCCATTTTCCATCAATAAAATTGTAGACTGAGGCATGATTTTTAAACATGGGAGTAAGCTTTTCTTTTGAAATACCAGAATCCCTAAGCGGCAGGAAAAACATACTTCCTTCTTACAGCACTGCCAACTTTAGAGATGGGAGGCCAATATTTGAATTCTGTGTAAGCCACCAGTTATAAGTAACATCTCAATTAATACTTCCCATCAGGGGCGCCTGGGTGGCTTAGTCGGTTAAGCGTCCGACTTTCGCTTAGGTCATGATCTCGCGGTTCGTGGGTTCGAGCCCCGCGTCGGGCTCTGTGCTGACTGCCAGCTCAGAGCCTGGAGCCTGTTTCAGTCTGTGACTCCCTCTCTCTCTGGCCCTCCCCTGCTCGCGCTCTCTCTCTCTCTCCTAGAAATAAATAAAACATTAAAAAAAAAGATTTTAAATACTTCCCAACAATGCTGTTAAGAAAGTAGAAGTCCAAATTTATGTATAAGAACACTAAAACTCAGAATATTTTAATTTATTTTCCAAGGTATCTAGATGGCAAATGGCATAGTACAAACTTGTTTCTTCCTATTCCTGTGATTCTGAAAGTGAGCTATGTATATATCAAACCAAATACCAGTTCTGCATTTTAAATTGTATATTATAGTATTGTTTTTGTAAATAATATTGTCCTGTAGTTAAATAAATATATTCATAAACAACACTAGTTAGATATACCTGTAAAGTAATATTTTTACTTTAACATATGTCAAATTAATCTCTGGAGTTTGTCATATGAAAATATTTTAAGTTGTTATATTGAAGGCTGCTAAAGGGCTGTTTAAGAGATAGTGTATCTCCTTACAAAGCATGATTGCACCTAGTCACTAGGAAAAAATAACTTGGAAGTCATGAGACTTGAGTTCTAGACTCAACTCAGCTACCAACAAGACATGTTCATGTCACAAGTTTAAAAATATTGTCTATTACTGGTCTGTTTTCTGATAGAATCAGAAAGATGATGATTTCCTTATGGTTTATCTTCTCATAGGTAAATGTGATACATCATACATGTTTGTGTCCCACCCTAGCACCTGTCTTTTAATGAACAAATCTGTTGGATGTATTAATGAATCATCAAAAGATAGCTAGAAAATTTCTTATAATAAATTATACAAAAGTACCAAATTAGTTCCACCTATATAAATGTTATGCTTCACCATTACAGAGAACAGTAAAACATGAGAAGAGAGGATAGCATAATGCGAATTGTGCACATCTAGAAAGGAACATCATTGGGAAGCATCTTTGGGAAGAAAAAGACAGTAAAAATGCATCTGTGACATCATTTTCTTTTAGGTTATGTGTTCTAGTTTCAAGAGCATCTTCTATAAAAATAATTATCAAATACTATACCTACTATTTACTTATTTGGTCTTGGCTAAGTTACTGATATGTTTTGAATCTAGTTTTCCTCATATGTCTATTATTAAATTGTCAAGTGTGTTAACAGGCTAGTCATTCATGAAAATCCATGTCTCCTTTTGTCTGAGCACAGACTTGAATCACATTCCTCAGCCCTTCTTATATCATCAATCATATCTCTGTGTGCTGGTCAATGAGATGTGAGGAAAAGTGAAATGTGTTTCATAAATCCTGCCCCAAACAATCCTCCTTTGTTCCCTTGCCCTTCCCATCTACTGCAGGGAAAGTCCAAGGAAGATCTTGCAAACCAGAAGCTGGAGATGGCAGAGTCATTGACCCTCTGGGGTCCTAAGAGACTGAGCAAAAGCCCTCCTCTGCTGACTATCTTATGCAATCAACAACTGAACAGTTACCATCATATAGGTGAATATAACACACAGCTTGTTTTGCTATCACAGCTTAATCTATCATAATTTGAGTGTGCGTGGTTTGGGCTCACAGCTTCCATAGGTCAAGAGTCCAGACATACCTACTCTGGGTCCTTTACTCAGGGGGTCACAAGGTTGCAACAAAATGTCAACTAGAACTAAGTTCTCATCAAAAGCTTGTTGCCTTTTTCCAAGCTCACATGGTCCCTTGCAGCTGAAAACCTCATGGCTTCTTCAACAGGAAAAGATCTTCTGAAGTCCAGGTGCTTTTTTCAAAGGTCTTATCTGAATAAGTCCGACTCACCCCCACAAATCTCTGAATTCAAATTCAAATGATTAGGGACCTTAATAACATCTGCAACATCTGCTCACCTTGTCATGTAACACAAAGTGATATCCTATCCCCTTTGCCATATTCTTTTGGCTAGAAGTATTCACAGGGTCCACACACTTACAAAGGGAGAGGAGTGCACAAGGGGTGACTTGTCTGTCTGTCTCTATCACAGTTTTCTGTTCTGACCATGGTGATCAGAGGAATAGAAAGTATTATCAAAATTAGAGATAAAGGGAAGACAGCGCCATGGGAAGCTCCCAGTACCTCTCAGTGTATTTTGTTAAGTTAAATCAGAAAGACTGGAGTGTGAAAACAAGCTCTGAAATAGTTCAAGTCTGAAAAATTTTTACAACAAAACTGTACCAACTTATGTAGAACGTAATGGAAGGAGGTAAGAACTACTTTTAACGAACTAGATAGACTACCTAAGATCCACAAAGTAACGTGGAATAGCAAATATATGGACTAAAAGGCAATGAGATAAATATGATAATATAAATATTAGATGATTTGGGGTATTTTGTTTCATTTGCATTTTATTTCTACATTACTTAAAATTCATTATAAACAACGGATGAATTAGAGAACAGAAAATTTCCATGACTCATTTGCTAACTTACCAAAAAACCTTCATTTTCTATAGAAAATATATACTTGAGTGGGAAAGCCCAGAGTAAATCTGATATTCCTTTTAGAAAACTTATAGTATCCTTGAGAGAAAAAAACAATAAGGGAAAAAATGAAATCTTAACTGAAATTTGGTTGCATTAATCTTTTTTCTTATTTTCTAAGTTACTGGCCTTTTCAACATCGTTTTTATAGTCTAGTCTAAGAAGGTGAACTGCATCATATTTTACACTAGTGTTTTAAATAGTGATTTTTAGTTATTTTATACCATTTAATTTTATGTGCACTGACCTGAAGAGTACTGACCTACATTCTAGGCATTATTTAAATATATGAGAAAAACAACTTATTTCTCAAAAGTAATATATGAGGCATGTACTGTTTGTACCCTCATTTTCCAGATGAGGAAATGTAGTCCCAGGAAGGATATGTGTCATGACTGGATTATCTCCAATGTCTGTGCTTCTAACCCATACACAGTTGTCTCTTCTACTACTCCAAATGCCTGGTTGGGGCGCCTGGGTGGCTTAGTCGGTTAAGCGTCCAACTTTCGCTTAGGTCATGATCTCGCGGTTCGTGGGTTCGAGCCCCGCGTCGGGCTCTGTGCTGTCAGCTCAGAGCCTGGAGCCTGTTTCAGAGTCTGTGACTCCCTCTCTCTCTGACCCTCCCCTGCTCACGCTGTCTCTCTCTCTCTCTCTCTCTCTCCTAGAAATAAATAAAACATTAAAAAATTAAAAAAAAAAATGCCTGGTTTCTTCTGATGTTCCTTCCCTAGGTTCTGCTCATCACACAGAAAGAAAAACAGTACAAAGTCACATTTCCTATAATTTTCAGGAAATATTTATTTTGTGTCTTCACATTTGACGTAATAAAAGTGATAACATTAATCAGAGAGTAATGTAAATGCCCTACAAATTTTAGAAGAAAGTCAAAATCCAGGGAGCAGACCTCCCATTGTACTATAATAAATGGCTGCTTACTGATGAAACTTTGGAGGTTATCAGAAAAGAGTTACCATAGCACGCATGACTTTATAAGAAGGTAGGACTTCTTATAAATACCTGCCTGTATGTTTGGCTCTTGGCTAGCATCTAGGAACTTGGATTTCAGAAGTTCTCAGTTCCAAAGTTCTGGCTCATCATTCCCTAAGAATGTGCCTCTAGGGTTTGTATAATGTGATGTATGCTGAACATCTGCTCTCTTTCTGTGATCTTGGAATTTTGGTACATGAGAAGCAGAGAGTACCTATGTGACCAAGACAAATAAAAACTTGGACACAGGCAGTAAATAGTGGAAGACAAAAAAAGAAAAAAAAAAAAAAAGGAACAAAGAACATGGAAAACAAAGAGAATACAGTAACCAAAATGGTATATATTAATCCAACTATATCAATAATCACTTTGAACAACAGTGCTAAGAATATACCAATTAGAAGTTGAAGATTTTGGCTCAGTTGGTTAAGCATCTGACTTCAGCTCAGGTCATGATCTCACAGCTTGTGGGTTTGAGCCCCTCATTGGGCTCTGTGCTGACAGCTAGCTCAGAGCCTGGAGACTGTCTTTGGATTCTGTATCTTCCTCTCTCTCTGACACTCCCCTGCTCATGCTGTCTCTATCTCTCTCTCAAAAGCAAATAAAACATTAAAATTTTTTAAAAAGTTGAATATTATAAAAATGGATTCATAAATAGGCCCCAAATATATGGTGTCCAGAAGAATTTATTTTAAAATGTTTGTTTGTTTAGAAAATGAGAATTCCAAGCAGGCTCCACGCTGTCAGCATAGAGCCTGCCATGGGGCTCAATCCCATGAACAGTGAGATCAAGAGCAGACCCTCAACCAACTGAGCTAATCAAGGGCTCCAAGAACTCTACATTAAATATGAAGTCACATAGCCTAAAAGTAAGTGGACAGAGAAAAATATACCATGCAAAATAAAGCAGAAGCAGCTGCGCTAATTCCAAATAAACCAGATTTCAAAGCAAGGAATGTTATCAAGGATAAAGAAGTACATTATTTAGTGATGGGGGCGTCAATTCTCCAAGAAAAAATAACTATCTTTATAATGTATACGCCTAACAAAAAAGTGTCAAACTGTGAGGAAAAATAAATTAATAGAATTGCAAGGAGAAATAGATGAATCCAACTACCATAGTTGGGGACTTCAACACTACTCTATCAGAAATGGACAGATTTAGTAGGCAGAAAATCAATAAGAACATAGTTGAATTCACCAATACCATCAATGATTGGGTATAATTAACATCTATAGACTTCATCCAAAAAGAGCAGAATACACATTTTTCTCAAGCCTACATGGAATATTCACCATGATATACCGTGTTCTGAGTCATAAAACACACCTCAACAAATTAAAAAGTAATAGAAATAATACAAAGTCTGCTTTTAGATCATAATGGAATTTAACTAGAAATCTATAATAGAAGCATAACCGTAGAATCCCCAAATATTTGGAAATTAAAAACACTTCTAAATAACACATATGTCAAAGAAGAAATGTCAAGAGAAGCTAAAAAATATTTTGAACTAAATGAAAATACAACTTATCAAAAATGTGAGATGCAGCAAAAACAGTAATTAGAGAGATATCTTTGGAATTGAATATGTTAGAAAAAATAACAAAAATTAATAATCTAAGTTTCCTCTTAGGAAACTAGGAAAAAATGAGAAAATTAAGTCCAAAATAAGCCAAAGAAAATAAATTATGATTAGAGCAGAAATCAATGAAATGGAGAACAGAAAACCAATAGAGAAAATCAACAAAACCAAAAGCTGTTTCTTTAAAAATATCAGTAAAATTGGGGCGCCTGGGTGGCTTAGTCGGTTAAGCGTCCGACTTTCGCTTAGGTCATGATCTCGCGGTTCGTGGGTTCGAGCCCCGCGTCGGGCCCTGTGCTGACTGCCAGCTCGGAGCCTGGAGCCTGTTTCAGTCTGTGACTCCCTCTCTCTCTGACCCTCCCCTGCTCACGCTGTCTCTCTCTCCTAGAAATAAATAAAACATTAAAAAAAATAAACAAACAAACAAACAAAAAAAAATATCAGTAAAATTGATGTCTCTAACCAGACTAAGAAAAAAAGAGAGGGCACAAATTACTTGTATCTGAAATGAATAAGTGAGATTATCGCTGCAGAAACCATGGCTATTAAAGGGATCGTAAATTATGAACAATTCCATGTTCACAAGCTTGCTAACCTGGGTGAAATGAAATAATTTCTTGAAAGACAGAAATTGCTAAAACTCTTACAAAAAGAAATGGACAATCTGAATAGACCTACACTTATTAAATAAATTAAATCAATAATTAATACTTTTCGAATCAGAAAGTATTAGGCCTAGAAGGGTTCACTAGTCAATTCTACAAAATATTTAAGGAAGAAATTTTACCTATTCTCTACAAACTCTTTCGGAGAATAGAAACAGAAGAAATACTTCTTAACTCATTCTGTGATGCCATCATTACCCTACTAGCAAAATCAAAGACATTACAAGAAAAGAAACTACAAACCAATATTACTCATGAACAAAAATATAAAAATCCTATACAAAGTATCAGCACATTAAATCCCAACAATGTATAAAAATAATTATGTACAACAACAAAGGGAGATTTACCCCAATTATGCAGGGTTGTTGCACATTTGAAAATCAATTAGTTCAATCTGTCACATCAACAGGGTAAAAAAGAAAAATCACATGATTATATCAACAGATACAGAAAAAGGATTTGACAAAATCTAACACCAACTCATAATAAAAACTCTCAGTAAACAAGGTATAAAGGGGAACTTCCTCAACTTGGTAAAGAACATCTACAAAACAACCTACAGCTAACACCATATTTGGTGGTGAGAGACTTGAAGTTTTCCCTTTAAGATCAAGTAAAGGGCAAGGATATCCCCTCTCTATCCTCCTTTTCAACATCATACTGAAAGTTGTAGCTAATACAAGAGATGAGAAAAAGAAATAAAAGCTATACGGAGTGGGAAGAAAGAAAATTATCTTTTTTCACAGATGATAAGAGTGTCTCTATAGAAAATCTGAAAGAATTGGCAAAAAAAAAATGTTGTGCAATTATAGCCAGGACACAGAATACTACAAGGTTAATATACAAATTCAATTATTTTCCTATATACTAGTAACAAACAAGTGCAACTTGAAATTAGAAACACAGTATCATTTATATTAGCATGCAAAAATAGGAAATTATATATATATATAAAACAAAATACATACAAGATCTATATGAATAAAAATATGAAACTCTGATGAACAAACACAAAGTAAGTGGAGAAATTCTCTATGTTCATGAATAGGAAGGAGTGATATTGTCAACATGTTAGTTGTCACATATTGATCTAGAAGTTCAACGCAATCGCAGTCAAATCCCAGGAAGGTATTTTGGGGATATCAACAAATGGATTCTAGAATACATATGAAGAGGCAAAACATACAAAATGGCCAAGAGAGTTAAGAGAACTGACACTACCAACTTCAAGACGTACCATAAAAGTCTAGTAATCAAGATACTGCAGTGTTAACAAAAATGCAGACAAATAGATAAATGGAACAGAAAAGAGAACACAGAATAGACCCAAATAAGTATAATCAACTGATCTTTGACAAAGGATTCAAGGAGCCAAGATCATTCTTCTAGAAAAATGATGCTGGAACATCTGGACCTCAACATGCAAAAAATAATAAATTAGGAAAGAATATCCAATGGAAAAAAGACAGCCTTTTTAACAGATGGTGTTGGGAGAACTGGACAGCAACATGCAGAAGAATGAAACTAGATCATTTTCTCACGCCATGCACAAAAATCAACTCAAAATGGATAAAGGACCTGAACGTGAGACAGGAAACTATCAACACCCTAGAGGAGAAAGCAGGAAACAACCTCCTTGACCTCCACCGCAGCAACTTCTTACTTGACACATCCCCAAAAGCAAGGGAATCGAGAGCAAAAATAAACTGTTGGGACCTCATCAAGATTAAAAGCTTCTGCACAGCCAAGGAAACAACCCAGAAAATTAATAGGCAACCAACGGAATGGGAAAAGATAGTTGCAAATGACATATCAGATAAAGGGTTAATATCCAGAATCTATAAGGAACTCACCAAACTCCACGCCCGAAAAACAAACAACCCAGTGAAGAAATGGGCAGAAGACATGAACAGACACTTCTCCAAAGAGGACATCCAGATGGCCAACAGACACATGAAACGATGCTCAGCATCCCTCCTCATCAGGGAAATACAAATCAAAACCACACTGAGATACCACCTCACGCCAGTCAGAGTGGCTAAAATGAGCAAATCAGAGAACTCTAGATGCTGGCGAGGATGTGGAGAAACGGGCACCCTCCTGCACTGTTGGTGGGAATGTAAACTGGTACAGCCCCTCTGGAAAACAGTGTGGAGGTTCCTCAGGAAACTAACAATAGAACTCCCTTATGACCCAGCAATAGCACTGCTAGGAATTTACCCAAGGGATACAGAAATGCTGAGGCATAGGAGCACGTGTACCCAATGTTCAGAGCAGCACTCTCCACAATAGCTAAAACATGGAAAGAGCCTAAGTGTCCATCAACAGATGAATGGATCAAGAAGATGTGGTTTATCTATACCATGGAATACTACATGGCAATGAGAAAGAATGAAATCTGGCCATGTGTAGCAACATGGATGGACCTTGAGGGTGTTATGCTGAGCGAAATAAGTCAGGCAGAGAAGGACAAATATCATATGTTTGCACGTATAGGAGGATTAGGAGGAACTTGACGGAGGAACAAGGGGGAGAAGAAGGGCGGAAACGGTGGGGGAAAGGGGGAGAGGCAAACCATGAGAGACTCTTGAATGCTGACAAAAACTGAGGACTGATGGATGTGGGGGGGAGGGGGGGATGGGCATGGAGGAGGGCACTTGTGGGGATGAGCACTGAGTGTTATGTAGAAACTAATTTGACAATAAACTATTTGTAAAAAAAAATAATAATAATAAATTAAAAATGAAAATAATTTAGACATAGACCTTACATCTTTGACAAAAATGAACTCCAAATGGGTCACGTCCCTCAAACAAAATACAAAACAATAAAATTCCAGGAAAATAACCTAGGAAAAAACCTGGAATGCCTTGGGTATGGCAATAACTTTTTAGTTACAATGTCAAAAGCATAAGCCATGAAAGAAATCATAAGATAGACTTCATCAAAAACTTTTGCTCTCCAATAAACAGCATCAATACAATGAAACAACAAGCCAAACAGGGAGAAAATATTTGCAAAAGACATATCTAGCAAAGGACTATAATGTAAAATATACAAAGAATACTTAAAACTCAAATGTAAACAAGCAATCCAATAAAACATGATTAAAAGTGGGCAAAAGACCTTAAAAGTCACCTCACCATAAAAGATAAACATATGGCACCTAAGCACATAAAAAAATGCTTCAAATAATATGTCAACAGGGAAATGCAATATAAACAATGAGATACCACCATACATCAATTGCAACAGTCAAAATATGGAACACTGACAGCACAAAATCCGAGGAAGGAAGCAAAAGGAACTTTCATTCATTGTAGGTGGTGTCACTTTGGAAGGCAATTTAGTAGTTTCTTACAAAATAAAACATACTCTTACCATATGATCCAGCAATCATGCTCTTTGCCAATGAGTTGAAAACCTATGTCCAGACAGAAAAAAATGCATGTGAATATTATAGCAGTTTTATTCATAACTGCCAAGCTTGGAAGGAACCAAACAATATCCTTCAGTAGGTATGGGCAAATAAACTGTGGTACATCTGCATAAAGGAATATTGTTTGCCATTAAAAAGAAATGAGCTATAAAGCCATGAGAAGACATGGAGAAGCATGAAATGCATATTACTAAGTGAAAAAAGTTAATCTGAACAGTCTGGATATTGTACGATTTCTCTGTATGGATTCTGAAAAAGGTAAAACTATAGATACAGTAAAAACATTAGTGGTTGCTAGAGGTTGCTTAGATAGAGGGATGAGTAGGTAGAGCATGGAAGATTTGTAAGACAGTGAAAACAATCTGTATTGTACCATAATGATGAGTACATATAATTAAATATTTGTCTGAACACAGAGAACACCAGAGCACTATATTGTAAACTACAGACTTTGGGTATTATGATGTGTCTGGGTAAGCTCATCAATTATAAGAAATGTACCACCTTTGTGATGGATGTTGGTAATAGTGGAGGTTATACATGTGTAGGAACAGGTGGTATATGGGAAATCTCTGTACCTGCCCCTCAATTTTGCTATGAACCTAACTGCTCTAGAAAAACAAAAAGTCTAATAAAGAAAGAAAGAAAAAAATCTAGTGAGTAAATATTTTGGAAGAAACATAAAAAAACAACAACAAGAAATCTTATACACTGAATCATTAGAAACATAAAAAAACAACAACAAGAAATCTTATACACTGAATCTTAATGACTTTCTCTGATAGTCAACATTTTTTGCAGTGTCCTTTTACTCTAATAAGATAGCTGTTGGGGCACCTGGATGGCACAGTTAATTAAACATCCGACTCTCGATCTTAGCTCAGGTCATGATCTTGGCTCAGGTCACGATCTCACAGTTTGTGAGTCCGAGGCCCGTGTCAGGCTCTGCGCTGATGGCACTGCTTAGGATTCTGTCTTTCCTTCTCTCTGCCCCTCCCCTGCTTGTGCATGCTCTCACTCGCGCTCTTTCTCAAAATAAAGAAATAAACTTTAAAAATAAAAAAAAATGGCTGTCATATCGCTATTCATTGAGTCCTGTGATGCTTCCTAGTGAATCATTGAACCTGGAGGTGGTCTCAGGGACTCTTTATGCAGGAGACTATAAGAGTTTGCACAAGGCCCCTAATTGTCATAATTGTCTTATTTAGTTATTTTTCAAGTTTGCTAGTAATAATATGGTTATGTATCACCGTGGTTTAATTTTCCTGATTAGAGTCACTGTATTCTTAATCAATCAGGACATTTTATTTGACAGACAATTATAAAATAATTACTAATCAGTGCAATTTATAAAACTTTGTGCATAGAATACCTAAATTTGGAATAATATGATTTTTCTTCAACCACACTTAGAGGAATACTAAGTACTGATACACTTTATATCTAAACAGATATAAAATCAGAGAAAATCTACTGGTACTCATCTGCTATTTGTGTTGGGTATTTGCTAACAGTGGCCAGTGAAACTATATCTGGAGAAAATGTTATAGCACACTGCCCATTTTCTCTCTGACTGAGATTCCAGCGAGCCACCTTCCAATGGCTCAATTGGTTGAACATCCAACTCTTGATTCCAGCTCCGGTCCTGATACCAGGGTCATGATCTCAGGGTCCTGAAACTGATCCCTGCATTATCGGATTAGGCTCCATGCTGGGGAAAAAAGACTGAACTTCAAGAAACGGCAGTTGCTGACAGGTCTCAGCTGAGTCCCCTCCCTAAGAACTACTCTTGCCAAAGGTAACATTGCCTCACCACAGATGGTAGTTCAACTTTTTGCTCTGCCCAATCCTGCTACCCTCACTTCAATGTGGGTTTTACTATCAGTTTACTCCCCAATAGCTTTCTGCAAACAAATCTCTATCTCAGATTCTTTTTACAGGAAACTCAACCTAAGGAAAAGCCATAATATGTAGTCTTTGTTAAATTTCTAAAGGAAACAGTCTACTTAGATATCTTTCAATTTATAAAACAAGTTCTAATTTAAGAACTGGTCAGCTTAGGCACCTGGGTGACTCAGTTAAGTCTGATATCAGCTCAGGCCATGAGCTTGCGGTCCTGGGATCCAGCCCAACCTTATGCTCCACTCTGAACCTGGAGCCTGCTTGGCATCCTTTCTCTCTCTCCCTATTTCTCTCTTAAAATACATAAGTAAACTTAAAAAATTGGTAAGTTAAAACATGATCTTCCTTTCATAAATTCCACACTAATGAATAGATATTATGCTGTAATCTGATAGCATATTGTAGTCAGATTATTCAAAATCAGGCAATTATGGAAAAGAAATAGTAAAAACTACCTTTTAAATTTTAGCATAAACAATGTGATATAGTATATAAATAAATTATATGATTTTTTAATGTGGTAATTGTGGTCCAAAAAATTTCTGTCAAATAGTAAGTTAAATTTCTCACTTGTACAATTGTAAATCTCTTCTTCTCGTGGTTATTTAATCAACAAGTATTTTTTAAAGTATTTTCTATATGCTCATAACTGAATGTCCTGGGGACATAAGAGTAACATTAAATATAGGACCTCTGCACAAAGAACTTGAAATCTAGACGGGGTTCAAGGGGTATATTCATAATACTAAAATAAATAAATAAATAAATAAATAAATAAATAAATAAATAAATCTGCATTCAACAGTGTGATTTACTAATTGCCAGATACTATTGGTTGCTTAAATCTTTCTTTTTTTGTCTATAGAATACTCATTTTGTTTAGAGTATGAAGTTGTCATGATTAGTAGCAGTCGATGACAACAATCCTCTTTTGAAGAAGATTTTCCAGGTTCTTTTGTAATTAGTGATGGCTATGTGACCTGTTTGTGGCCAATAAGATGTAAGGAGATAGCAGCAAAAGGGCTAATAGTGTTGCTTCTTTGACTTCCTTTCCTGAATGCAGTATGACACCTGAAACATATGTATAGTTGACTCTTGAGTAATATGGGTTTAAACTCACAGGTCCACTTATTCATGGAATTTTTATAATACAGTGTTATAAATATGTTTTCTCTTCCTTATGAATTTCTTAACACTGTCTTTTATCTGACTTACTGTACTATAAGAATCAGTATATAATACATATAAGATATGTGTTAACTGCTCATGTTATTGGTAAGATTTTTAGTCAACAGTAGGCTGTTAATAGTTAAGTTTTCAGGGAGTCAAAATTCATAAGCAAATTTTCAACTCTGTGGAGGTCAGTGCCCTTAATCTCTGCATTGTCTAAGGGTCAACTCTGTGTGTGTGTACACACATGTATACTTGTGTGTGTGCATAAATACATATATGTGTGTATGTATATACAATGTGTATGTATACATAGTATCTAAATTATTTTAATTTACATAAATCATATCATATCCTCCATAACATACATCTTTTATTTTTCCTTAAATTTTTAAAAAATTATATTTGAGAGATAGAAAGAACATGCACATGAGCAAAGGAGGGGGCAGAGGCACAGAGAGAGAGAAAGACTGAGAGAATCTTAAGCAGGCTCCATGCTTTGTGCGGAGCCCGGGGCAGAGCTCGATCACAGGACCCCGGGCTCATGATCTGATTTGAAATCAAGAGTCAGTCGCTCAACTGACTGAGACACTAGGTGTCCTTATTTTATTTCAATTTTTTATGTAGGTATATTTCCATTCAATTGAGAAACACACTATCAAATAAAATTACAGCAATATAAACAGGCGTTGTTTCAATAATTTCGCTATTGTAAAACAACACTGAAATAAAATCCAAATCTAAACCTATTCTCATGGGCAAGAAGTATTAGCATGGTATTGTTGGGGCAAAACCTAAGTACACATCCATATTTTTTCTAGATATTGGCAACAGCTTTTCAGAGCTGTACTCTGCTACTAGTAAGCGTACATGGAGGTACCCACTTCTTCACATCCTTTCCAAAATTAATACTGTCAGACTTAATTAACTTTTTCAATATGGAAAGTTAAGATAGTATTTCTCTGTCATTTTAATATATTCCCAAATGCTAGCAGCTGAGAACTTTCTCATATGTTTCTTTGAAAATTTCTTTTAGTTTCTGTTATTTTCACACTTCAGATGTATCAGGTGTTATGGCATGAGAGAGACTTGCCACTAAAATACATCAAAATAATTTAGAAGTAAAGCAGAGGATATGGAAATATCCTTGTGCTAGGATAAGGTTCAAGAAATAACTCTGTTAATAGACATCAAGGAGAATTAAATCAACATTCTAGAAAGCTCCCAAGGATTTGAGGAATGACTTCAGTCATCAAGGTTACTGGATCTAGAGGCACAGCTCTAAATATTTTAGTTTTTTTTCTTTTCTGCTCTTACCAAAGAACCATGCTTTTTAGCACATAAACCTCTCCTGCTACTGGATTTAGCAGTCATAGTGCCTCACTGGGCATGTGTAACCACTTTTCAAATGCATACAAGAAGAGCTTTCCTTCCTAAACTCAGTTAAGTCCTAAACATAAAGTTACAAATGCAAAAGCACCCATGTGTATTGTAAAGCACTATACAAAAGTAAGGTATTATCTTCATTACCTATTGTTATTGGAGTTAAATTCTAGGAGATTGAGTAGT